ATATATATATATATATATATATATACACATACATACACATACATAAACACACACCTTTTAATAGTAATATTAATAACAACAACTATTAATATTAAAAGTCCCCAAGTCCAGAAATAAGATGTTTACATTTGTAATATTTTTATTTCTGTGTTTTATTGATTTTGGGCTGAATTTTATTCACATTAATGTAAGTTTTTAAGTGAAAGTTGTGCATAATGTGTAGTATTATGAACACAAGCTTTACATAACACAAGCTTCAACTGATCCATTTCATCTAAAATGAAAAAAGCACAACAACTTAAGGTAAGGTCAAAATTTTTTTTTATTTATTTGGACTTAAGAATGGTTCACATCCAAACAGTGGGGTGGTGTAGGATAACATCACAGGGGGGTAAATCCAACCATTCAAACACTCATTTGAGAACAGCATCACTAGACAAAAAGTGTTTAGAGGAGGAAAAAAACCCAAACGACAGTTTTCACAACCCACTACTACAGACAGATGGCACTTTTGTCCTGTGGAACACTGTGTCCAGAGAAGGAGAAAGCCTATATTTTCTGTTAGCATACAATAAACACCCACTGTGGCATACGTACAATACACGCCCAATGTAGCATACATTCCCAAAACATACTTCCAGTAACATCACATACAGTCTATTAAGTACAGGGATGCACCAAGTACCTTAGTAATCGTGCAAGTACCATACAACATCCTATTATCAGACCAACACGGCCTTAAATACTGCAATGCATTAGCTTGGGTAGAAGATTTAACTTAACAGCAAAAGTATACGCTTTTCACAGCACAGCCTTGAGTTCACTGGCAAAGGAGAGATAGACAGAGATGAGTGACACAACCATGACTATTTTAGTATGTTACGGATGGCAGTTTCTGTAAACTTGATATAATTTATCAAACATCGGCTCGTTACATAAGCGCTACTATACAGTATGTACTAGATGAGCTGTACAACAGATATATGAGAACGTAATGCGCTGACTTAACCGAGCAGAAGTCTGATACTCAAGTGTTCAAATGCATGAAACTCAAAATGACACTCAAAGGCATGATTACAGCATGAGTATGGTTGTGGGTTTCTCAATGTACACTGATTTACATGATCCTTTGAGTTAAAGAATGACACTAAGACAAGATAAGCTGTAGAACATATGAGAAATAGTGAGAAATGTGGTTACATTTGTAACAAACAGCTTCATGTCTGCCAACTGTTTTTATTTTCTCCTGCCTATTCTATACCAGCACTGACCAACAGAGGGAGGCTGTGAGCAGGGACAGGCCATTTAAGGCCACCAGAGGGCAGTATTTGTCTTAGCCCTTATGTTAATGGTAATGCAAGGGCTCACACTTTTATTAATACATTTCCATTACCTTTTGTCAGTTATGATTACTGGATGAGAATTTATCTTTGTATATTTGAGGATTATTATTATTATTATTATTCATAACAATTTTTTAAAAATTTAATTTTTAATTAAATTTTAATTGACATCTTATTTGGAGCCAATTAATTGTTTTCAATGAGAATAACGAAAAACTCATACTCTATTTACTAACCGACGATACTTTACATTATTTTTAAATGACTTTAGAGGCCTGGAAATATCAGACAATTATAAAATTGAGATATCCATTGTCCAGGCCTCAAAAGTCATTAAAAAATAGTCAGTTTCTATAGTAAATACAGGTATGAGTTTTCCTGTTATTCTGTAACAATTAACGATGCATTTTCTATAAACTTGGGAATGTTTTATTGCAAATCACAGAAGAATGAACCAAAACAGTCTTTTTTATACACTGAATTAGGAATTATGTATTGCAGTATTCTACATAATTTCTTTAATGTAAATAAATATAAACCCTCATCCATCCAGGTGTAACTATGTAAAGGTGTCAATTTTCTATAGAATTTTATTGCTAGCCAATTAATTACTTTCAAGCTGAGAATAACTAGAAAAAAATCATATAGTACCTTTATTCACTATAGAAATTGCCATTATTTTAATGGCTTTGGACGCCCGGAAATCTAAATTTTCTACGACCATGGATACGCTTTACTACAAATCGCAGAAAAAATGGCCCAAAACAGTCTCTTTTATACATTGAATTATGACTGCTATATTATGCATGTTCTTTACTGTAAACAGAATTAAACCCTCATCCATCCAGATGTAATTATGCAGAAGTGTCATGGCTGAATTCAAATGAACGTCCAGAAATAGATATGTGCCCTAGTAATAGTGAATAATAGTCTTTATGCATATGATAAAATGATGCCTATGTGGAAGTGGTACGGTAAGAGACATTATAAACAAAATTAGAATCACTTCCTGAGATGAGCTGAATCCTCACAGCTACAGACCTAGTTTCAAATCGCTCCCTTGTGGCTAAAGGCTAACGTATTTTAGGACATTGTGCGTTGTATCTAGGGAAAGGCACCACTATCAGTCTTTGAACAGTGTTGCTTGGTAAAGAGAAGCACGTGCAAGTCAGTCTCCCTCACATGCGGACAACAGGCCCATGCTACCACAAAGCTGAGGAATTCGGAAAGAAGCTGATTACCAGTCATTTCCAAGTAATTCAAGATGGCAGCAACAGTACACGGAGTCTCAGAAGAGATTTTCAAATTGTTTTTACGCCCCAAATGCAAGTGTAAATCAGCATGGCACCACCGAGAAACGTAAGACTAACGGAGACATATGATGCAACAGCTCAAGCATGACATCAAACGCAAATCTAGAGATATTTCTAGACTACAAATTGTGCGTAGTAACAGTACTGTTTTCTTAAGAGAACCATTTTTATGTAATTAATTTTTTCCTTACACAAGCTTTCACATACTGTGTCCTTCTGATTGGACTGCGTGAAGTGGCAAATCCTAAGGCAAACCGCAAAAGTAAAATCGGTGAAGAGGATGAGATTAAAGCTTTTGGGCTCAGTGTGTTTAAGTGGATATCTAGGTCAGTCGGGCAAATTTTGTACACGGCTGGGTATTCCCTCTTCAAGCACAGCTCAGGGAGGAGGGGTAACGCTGAAGATGAACCGGAGATGATATGACAGATTGGGGGCAGTGGAGTTTCTCTTGTTGGAGCTGGTTTCTCTAGGCTATTGAATATTTAGACATGGAGGAGGGATCTGTACATCACCACAGAGAGTGTGGCATGGATTTACAAATGCATCATTCATTGCACTAGAAAAGATGCTTTACTTTGCATCCTATATCTACCAAAAACAAGACTTTTTGGTGAATCTAACAAAAATATGTCCCAAGACCAAAAGAAAAAAATATGAAAATATATTTTGAAGAAAAAAAACTGAGTCATTTTAGGATATTTTTGTATTATTGTATATTTATAAAAATGTTTGTATTATGATATTATCACTTAGATCGGGAGGAGGGAGCTGTCCCTAGTCAGAGACAGTGTGGTATGCATTTACAAATGTATCTGGGAAATATGGTATATTTGACATACACAATTTTTCGAGTAAATCTCACAAAAATATGTCCGGATCATCATAAAATCAAAAGAAAAAAATTAGTCCTGAAAGAATTTTCTGTTATGATATTATTGCTGTTGACAATTTTTTGACAAATTCTCATCAAAAGTCCCGGGCACATTTGGTGCGATTCATTCTTCTACTTTGGTAGCTTGTGTGTCATCCGGTTATTTTAGTAAGTATTAATATTCATATAATCAGTTGACAGAATATATATGGAATACATGTCCAAAGCAGGACTATTTGAAATATGTAAATGATGGATGCTTGCAATAACATGAGGCTCATTGGAATGCCTTAAAGCCACGTAACTTTATAAGAATCAAGTATTTCATTGTGTAAATTAGGTATGATGAACTGCTTTTTCTATTAGAAAGCTGATGTGATCCAAAAAACACAGAGAAGAAAAAAGTACAGCACTCTCCAAACTAATATTAATATTAATGGCTCAGACTATTGATTGATTATTTGTTTGCGTCTTGGTTGTAAATGTTTTTGATAAAAGCCGTTCTAGTCTCCCTGTCTGTTCTGTCCTCGGCTGTACAAGACTGACACTTCTACCCAAATTTATATACAAGTAAAACTACATTTTACCACAGGTTTCTTACAATTAGTTGGTATATTGGTTTTCTGCATCTCATATATGTATACAGCTTGGCTATTTTGTTACTTAGATGTATATCGCTTATTCTACAAACAAAAGGCATTACAAGTTCAAGTACAGTATATCTCTATTTACAAAAGCTCAAAGGTAGCTGGCCGTGTTAGACAGTCTTTGAGTGACCGTTTGGTTCTATTATATGTACAGTCCAGTTCTGGAGGGCGGGACTTATCACTAATTTTAAAACAGTCCTCCAATGAGAGTTTACTCATTCATTAATAACAGAACTCTTCTGGCCAACCAGTGCAGAGAGAAACAAATGCAAACCACTCGTTTGATCTTGGTCTAAATAAAAATGTTAATAGTAATTCTGAGGTAAAAATAATAATAAAAAGAGGAATTTATCTTTTTTTTCAACCTTCTTTTTATCATAGCATGAAATTTTCCCTGGAATTGTCTTTTATCCCTTGTATTTTTATTTATTTTTTTTCACAGAGAGGGCAGGAAATGATGAGAACAACGGAATGGAATGGGAAAATCACCTGAGCCAGACTCGATTCACATCATCCACAACCAGGCTCAACACGTCAAACCACTAGGCCACAGCTCAGCTGCATTTCTAGAACTCTCAAAGTATCAAAAAATCAATTCAGAAACGAAATAGCACTCCTGAACTTCCTTCCTGGAATGAGCATCTAGCCCTCACCAGCGCACCACGGGCCTGCTGCTGCTGCTGCTACATGGTCCCGGGGTTCTCGCCAGAGTTGGTGGAGGAAGCTGCAGCGTTGCTCGCGTTGTTTGAAAAGATCTTCTCTGTGGGGGTCACGGCAGGGCTTCCCACCCCAGAGGAGCTGGAGCTGCTGGAGCGGTGCTGCGTGGGCGGTGGTCGCATGGGTCTCATAGGTGGAGGTCTGAGCTGGGCTCCGGCCAATCTGGCGGACAGCGCCGGTTTAAAGGTGGTCATCATCTCCGTAGTGGAGCTGCTGCTGCGTCTCAGGGCCGCGTCCGGGTCTCGGATTATGATGGTGTGTAAGGGGCTCGCTGGCTCTGAGCTCATAGGGTTCTTGAGCGGTTCTAACGTATCCAGAACAACGTCGGGAGCTTGTTTGGCTGTGTTTTGGCGTTCCAATTCACGGAGCTCATGAAGTGCGGTGTTCATTGTCTTCTCAATATCCTGTAACAAAAAATATTGTTGACTTTTTACACAGTTTTTAGTTTTAGATTTTGACTTGATAAAAAATATTCTTTAAGAATATGGACTAAGCTAAGATATATATATTTTTTTTTTTTAAATGGCATTGAATTGTACTTAATAAAGACAACATTTAATATTAAACCAAATGTTCAAGCATTTTATTCACAACCTAGTGTAGGTTTTATGTAAACAGTATGCTTTAATAATTTTGGCAAAATATCAACTAAATTTCAATATTTTTCATTTCAGTCTAAAATAGCATTGAATTGTAGTCAAACAAAAATAATATTTGAAATTAAACTAAAAGCATTTTAATCATAATCCGTTTGAATGATTAAAATGCCAATAAATGTAATTTGACGAAAACAACATTTAAAAAATAGATGAAATGTTCATGCATTTTTTCATAATATCATTTGAGTTTTTTGTCAACAAATAATTTATCATTATCACAATGAAGATTTTTCTTGTTGTTATGAAACCCCATTTTTTGTTTAGTTTTAATGATGAGAAAAACTGAACAAATGTTATATATTCATGAAAAATGCTGTTTTTTTAGTCATTATGCTGAAAATAATTCTCGGTACTTCATTAACTGGACTCATTTGCCTTGAGTATTGCTAATATAACAAGGTTAAGCATTAGGGATGTGTTTAAACCCTCTAGCATCACTAATAGTGATGATGTGAGAAAATGATCGATAACTTCAATTTGTCGGTTTCTGCACAGAGAGTATTTACGGAGCTATATGGCCTTAGAAATCTCTCATCTTTCCTGGAAATTCATCTTACTTTCTTCGGAAGCGGTCTAGTATATCACAGAGGCAGATTATGTTTGATATACACACAGTGTCGCTGCCATCCCGATAGACTATAAACTCCCTGCTTTCCCGGTCTCATTCAAGACTGTCCTCTGTCTCGCAGCTGAGCATGCCATAAAAATTTAATGTTCAGAAGATAAAAGGCTCATGAAGACACACGCTCACACACACACACACACACACACACACACACACACACACAAAAGTACCTTGCAAGGTCTTATTACTGAACAGATGTCATCAATAACCCCACACACCCCCCTAAACACATTTACACACATTTCCCAAACTGCACATCAAGCAGTAACGTTAATGAGATCATGCAGGCTGCGCTTATAATGCATTATCAATATACAAAACAACACATTTCTGTCCAACAATATCAATCATACCTCCATTTTGATGTCTGTATTCACATAAGCCAGTTTCTTTTCATTAGGTGAGTGTAGACACAAAGGGACCATTTCAAAAGATCATTAACTGTTCTGTGTGTCACAGACTTCATTATTTAACAGTGCGCAAATGAAACACATGGATCAGTGGCAGCCTATCCCGTTCATGCTGCTATCTGCTTTAGTGCCAGCTCTTTGTTTCTGCTGGACTAAATCTTGCTAGCTTCTTCAGCCTCACAGAATTCTAGGCTAATTGAAAGGCTCAAGAGAAAAACCAAAACACTTTCATGACTACAACTTAAAAGACATTTTGAATCCTTCTGAGCTTTGATTTATAAAGGTACAAAATATAAGATTTATAGTACACTTACCAAGAATATTTGAATGTTTGATCTCAGCAATAGCAAACTGTTTAAAATAATTATATATCTAAATCACAGTGATTTAATCAGATTACAATAATTAATCTAAATATATTTTATGGCTTTTTATAATAATTAGTGGTGCTTGCTTACTATTTTTCTGCCCAAAACTTTGCGGTGTAAGCCTTGACTTGTATAATGGCTCAAGTAGTGCAACTGAGGAGAGGTGCTATTACTTTTGTATCAGTTTTTTCTCTCAGTTTAGTTTTCATAATGTTTTCACAATTAAAAAAAAGAAAAGAAAAGTTATTTGTTTTTAAATACCTTAATTGTATCTACAATTTATCTACTATTTTTTCATTTGAAACTTATTAAATAAATAAATAAAAATGGCACTTATTGGATAATTTTATTATACAATGACGTTCATAAATTTAAAAAAATACAGTAAAAAATTACCTTTTTTCTGTACAAATATATTTGAAAATGTAATTATTCCTATGATGTAAAAGCTGAATTGTCAGCAGTCATTTCTCCAGGTTACAGTGTGCATTTCTAATATATTTCTAATAAACATTTCCAATTAATATCAGTGTTGAAAATGGTTGAAGCATCTAGTTCGGTAGTTGAAAACTATTAGTAGTTCGCAAAAATATGAAGCAGCACAACTGTTTTCAACATTGATAATAAGAAGAAATGTTTCTTGAGCAGCAAATCAGCATATCAGAATGATTTCTGAAGGATCATGTGACACTGAAGACTGGAGTAATGACGCTTAAAACTCAGCTTTGCCATTTCAGGAATAAATTAGATATATTCAGATAGGAAAATGTATTTTAAATTGTAATAATATTTCACAATATTACTATTTTTACTGTACTTTGATCAAATAAATACAGTCTCAGTGAGTATAACAGACTTCTTTCAAAAATCTTTAAAAAATCTTTATGGTTTCAAACTTTTGACCTCCAGTGTACACACACACACAAACACACACACACCTCTGCTAAAGCCTCAGCCTCCAAAGACTTGTGGTCTCCTAGGCTGCTGTGTCTTGTTGCTCCTGGCAAAGGCCTGAGCGGGTGACCCTCAGGATAGACCTTTCTCTCAGGGTAGTTAATGCTGCCTGCACTGCCAAAGGTTCCCAAACGTCTCTTCTCAGGACTCTCTATGTGGCCTCTACTGACCGCCACCTTGTGGGGGCTGCTGGCGTAGGCGGTGGCCCGCGGCGGTGTGTCTCGGGGAGGACTGTGAGAGTCGGTGCCACTGCGGCGCCGAGGAATGGCAGACCCATCCGAACGCAACCTAACCCTGCATAAACACACAACTAGATGGTAAAAATCTTAAATGCAGTCCGTCAATGCTGTTTTTGATTCAAAGCAGACTGCAAATAGAGTCAAAAAAGTTTTGTTAATCATTTGTGCCACAAACAAGGTGAATACATAAACAAGCTGTGAGGAGAAACAGGACAAGACTAAACACTTTAATTCAGATCCTTATTTTTTTCCTGAGGATGAAAATATGTGGAATAACTACAAGCAGAGTTCTGCATAATCAGCCACTGACCGGCCCATGACCCCGCCGAAGTTGTAATCAGGCGAAGGTTCACACGGGGACTGCAGATCGTTTTTGGATGAGGCTTTATCGTCCAGTAAAGGTCCACTGCTGGCCTCGCTGTCAGCCTTCTGACTCAGACTATCAGAGAACGCATCATCCCTAAAGAGATAGAGACAAAAATCCTTCTATTTGTGCCACAAACAAGGTGAATACATAAACAAGCTGTGAGGAGAAACAGGACAAGACTAAACACTTTAATTCAGATCCTTATTTTTTTCCTGAGGATGAAAATATGTGGAATAACTACAAGCAGAATTCTGCATAATCAGCCACTGACCGGCCCATGACCCCGCCGAAGTTGTAATCAGGCGAAGGTTCACACGGGGACTGCAGATCATTTTTGGATGAGGCTTTATCGTCCAGTAAAGGTCCACTGCTGGCCTCGCTGTCAGCCTTCTGACTCAGACTATCAGAGAACGCATCATCCCTAAAGAGATAGAGACAAAAATCCTTCCGGTTACTCTGATGGTCTGTGAAGGATTCGAAGTGGTGCAATTTGATTGGCTGATTTAAACAAAAAAATTGACCAAAATAATTAAAAACTATTATTTAAAAGAATAATAAAAACACTATAGAGAAGAGAGAGGAGAAGAGAAAGAGAAGGAAAGGGAGGAGAGGAGAGAGGGAGAGAGAGAGAGAGAGAGAGAGAGAGAGGAACAGGGAAAGTAGCACTCATTAACATGTTTGCACAAAGAATTATGTCAACAATGTTTCAGAGAGCTTCAAAGCACTGCAACAGACTCAAAATCTGTCATGCTCCCAGCTGGTTCTCAGCAAAAACATACACACTCACACCGTGTCTTGGCCAGGCGCGATATGACAAGTTTCCAGTGACAAGCAATTTGTCTGTCCAAACGAAGTGCAAAACTGCTGCATGACATGGAATGTATTAGAAGTTTTACATATACAATTATGTGAGGTAAGATTTTGGAGCAATTATATTTCATAGTGGGTGAACTGGACTGCAGAAATAGAAACCATTTAATACACAGATTTTATACACAAAAAGTACTGCAAAGTCCATTGATTGTCTTAATTCTCTGAAAACAATAAAGCAAAGCACAGCAAAAACAAAACAAAAAAACAATGCAAAATGCCATTTTACTACACAAAAGTCCATAGATGAATTGTCATAATTCACAAAAAACAAAACAAAAGCAAGCCAAACAAAAACAAAAACAAAACAAAAGCAAGCAAAACAAATGCAAAGCACATTTTTAAATGTGTGCATCAAAACAAAACAGCAAAAACCAAAACTTAGTCATTGAACAAAATGAAAAGCAAGCAAAACAAACACTAAGCACATAAAAATAAAACAAAACAACAAAACAAACTTCGTTTTGAATGAAGCACATCAAAACAAAACAGCAAAAAACAAATCTTAGTCATTGAACAAAAACAAAAGCAAGCAAAACAAATGCTAAGCACATCAAAATAAAATAAAACAACAAAAAACAACTTAGTTTTGAATTAAGGCAGCACATCAAAACAAAACAGCAAAAAACAAAACTTAATCATCGGACAAAAAGGAACATGGATCTCCGCAATGCAATATTTCAGACTTGCTTCTATATTGAAGAAACACACTGCATTCAATATGATCAAGTGTACTTACACCGTTCATTTATTTTTAGGGCAGAATGACAGATGTGACTGATCAGTCAGCAACAACAAAAAATACTGTTCAACAACATAGCTTAGAAAAACAGGCTTGTTCACAACAAAAGCTTGAATGCACATTTATTTGTCAAATAGGTTCTGTATTCAGTATCATACAGACTCACATTTATCACAAAAGGTCTCAAACATCAGGATATGATCTCATCTTTTACCCCATCAGGACCACAAAGAAACAGGCACATTTCTAATACAGATGGGCTGCTAAAAATGCACAGTGGACTTTATCTAAATCCGATCAAATCTGCCACCCAGCTTCCATTTAACATGACCACTGCCATCGCATGACCACAAATCAGTTCACGCTTCTCCCCCCCCCCCCCCAGACGCTGCCAGGGGCAAACAGACAGTGGGGTCATTCAGGGTTAAGGAGATATACAGAGCAAATCAGTGCCTGGCAGGAAATCTCCAAGTCGGCAAGAAGAAACCAATCAGTTTCATTAGGGTCTCCACCCAGGGGTGAAATTAAATACAGGCATGGCACAGAAGTGGAAGGAAAGAGGAAGAATGGAAATGGAGAGAGGGAGAAAATCAGCCTTTGCAATTCTGTATTCGTCTGATTGTTTCCATTGTGACTGCACCTGATTGGCTGGATTGAAGGCTCAAAATCTGATTGCAATTTCTCAGCATACGCCGGGGGTAATAGGGGAAGTTGCAATAGCGCTGTTTTGGAGCTAAAGTCCTGAAGTCATGCATAAGGCAGGCTGTGGCTGATGAGCTCCTGAGGGAAGGCTGACTCCAGATCAGAGCACCAGACAGATCAAAACAGAATGTCAGTGCGGATCACAAACATATACATAAGCACACACAGATTTAGCCAATAACATACTGTTTAAAGCAGTTTATAGAGCTACCTCTAAAAACATGATTACTTTGAATGTTTTAAGTTACGGCTCAACAACAAAAAATGACCAATAAAATGAATTTTGACTATTTTGGAATGGAATACTACCATACTGCTTTTTGGTTAGCCTACACTTAATAGCCTACAGCTTAATACTTATAAACAAGTTATGCATTATGTAATATGTGGCATTGTTGTCGCATGTCCCTATTAAAGTCCACTCACAGTTACAGTCACAAATTCTGTCATAATTTACTCACCCTCATATCTTTCTAAACCTGTATGTATTTCTTCATTCTGCACTGCAAAAAAAAATTCTGTAAAATGTTTGGGTTCCCATTGACTTCCTTTGTATGGACAAAAAATATAATGGAAGTTAAGAGGAACTGAAACGATTTGGTTACCAACATTCTTCAAAATATCTTATTTCATATTCCACAGATGAAAGCATGTCATACAGTTTTGGAATGAAATGAGGGTGAGTAAATTATGACAAATTATTTTTGGGTGAACTATCCCTTTAATTTTGTCACATGGACTCACATGCATGCTTAATTTCATGAGTGGCATGGAATTATGTATATATTATTATGTATATACAGTATATATAAATATATGTTATCTACTACACATTTTAGTAGCATGTTTAGAACTTATATACAGCACATATTACATACAGCAGAAATATTAAAATTATAGCAGTATGCATTTCCAACCATTATACATAATCTCCACAATAAATAACGTTTTTCTCTCTCTTTTTGTCTTTGTAAAGGTCTGAAATGATAGCCTCTCTGCTGCCCCCACCAGCTTTGGAGCAGCATTGACATTTATGTGACGTTATCACAGGCTGACTAAGTTCAACATAATGTTGTCAGGAAAATGTCAGGCCGAGAGAAATTATCCTGAAGTATGCATTTACAATGCAAGACAAGGCTGGTCATACAAACTCAACATGGTGGCCATCATGAGGGGGCAACCTGCTGAATGAACAGCCTTTTAAAATCCACCTCATTCAATGCTCCTGTAAATGTGTGAGACTTCCGATTCTATAGGTAAAATAGCTAGAATATGTGGTAAATGGTCAAATGTTTTGTGCTACAAACCAGTGTGTTTATGATTAGGATAATAGAGTATAATAAATTGAAATAATAAGATAACAAAAACCAGTTTGCAATATCAAATAGCATAAAAGGCTTTTTAATACATCCAAAATGAATATAAGTAGCTAACACGAGAAACATTGAACATTCAAGCTAAAAACTGTAGCAGTCGCTCTTAATTTAAAAATAAGGAATAGCTTGCTACAGAAGGTCTGAATGTTTACCATTTTAAAGATTTGCAAAAAGTACTGCAGCATTCATTTCGAGTACATTTTAAATAGAAAAATAATGAGTGCACCTTTCAACAGAAAAACCAACTATATTCTATTTTAGTGTTTAAAAGGATCCACTCTTAACCCATTAGTTGAGAGCAAAACCATTTTAGTGAAACTGAAAAGAAAAAAAAAACTTCTTGAATGAGCAGTGAGCTGTATGCGAGAGATGGTATCAGCGATGTGGCTGGTGTTTGGGGTTAGCGAGCGAGAGCAGCTCCATCAATCAGTAAATGAAGGGAGTGAGCACAGGAAGCCCCGTGAGACCTGTTTACTCACCCTGAACAAAGAGCATGTAAGAGAGAGGGAGAGAAGAAAACAAAGTGATAAAAGGCAAAGGAGGAGGCAACTAAGCAGAGAAAACCGAGGGCTGGAAGAGAGAGATGAAGCGCAAAGATTGCTGAAACTGGGCCGAAAGAGATATTTCCGTCTGTCTTCATTTAATATAGCAATGGAAACATCGTTTACATGTGAGAAATGAAGAGGGTGAAGGGGAGAGAGGAAGGGAGTGAAGAAAAAGCAGAGAGAACGACATTTTCAAGACCTGGAACCTCATATAACAGCTTATGAATCTGTGCTGCCAGGTTTCAATTTGAGATCATCTTTCTTATCTCCTCATGGTTTACCAGCCAATAAGGATGCACACTGCTGAAAAGGCACTACTCTGATTGGCTGAGCTAAATGTCAATTATAACATCCACCAAACACAACCTAGTGTGTATGAAGCATTTCTTTCAATTGTTTATATATAAAAAAAAAAATACAAATCTTCTTAAAGAACTAAATACAATTCACCTAAATTATTACAAACTTATATACACATAATTTTTTTTTAATATGAATTGTTTTCAGACAATATATCATACATTAAGTTTATTTTCTTACCCCACTAGTATTTTTTGAAATGCTAAAAAAGTCAAAGTCTCATATTGGCTGTGGTTGTATGAATAATATTTTTTTGTGGAAACTGTTTAGATTAAACTGAATATGACCCAGATGTTTCAATGCCAGCTTTGACATCTGATGTCAATTATGTGGTTGACATCCATGTGCACACACACATATACACACACACACACAAGCCAGAAAGCTCAGCCAGAGCACAACACAGCAATGCTAATCAACTTCAAAATACACAAGGCAAAGCAATTTTTCTGTTTTTTTATGAAGCAATATGTGGTCATTTTGATTCCTTTCAACCCCAAAGACTAGCATAAACATCTGATTGTTTTCTATTGGTTAAGTAAACGAAATCCTCAAATGCTGATTTTTGCTTCTGGTTATTTGTGGTCTACTTTACAATACAGAGCATGCAAAAAGCACTGAATGAATGCATAAATGTCTGTACCATCATCGCTCGTGTGTGGTTCGGTGCAGTTGTCCACTTCATCAATGGTGCCTGGTTCACTGTGAGGACTGTCACTGTGAATATGACAGTCATAAACAAACACAAAGAGGCAGAGATGTTTAAAAGCACAGTAAACACAATAACTGTACACATGATAATGCCAGCATTGGAAAAAAACATGGCAATTACAGTTCTGCAATACCACGCAAACAGTAATCAATCCAGTATTAGAGACTCATGAAACAGCAAAATTTGTGGATTAAAAGTCATCAAGTTGTGGAGTCATTAGGCTTGATGTAAGAGTAAAAACAGAGTAACAAACAGCATTATGAGGCTTACTGCTTTTAAAACAGCATGTTCAATAAATACACTATCATTCAGAAGTCTGAGGTCAGTACGTTTTTTTTAAGTGAATAATACTTTTATTTAGCAAGGATGCATTGATTGTATTTTCATCTTCATCAAAGAATCCTCAAAAGTATTATAGTTTCAACAATATTAAGCAGAAAAACGGTGTTCAGCATTGATAATAATAGTGTTTCTTGAGCACCAAATCAGCATATTAGAATGATTTCTGAAGGATCATGTGACACAGAAGACTGGAGAAATGGCTGCTGAAAATTCAGTTTTGCCATCACATGAATAAATCAAATTTTTAAAATATATAAAAAGACAAAGCAGTTATTTTAAACTATAACAATATTTCACAATGTTTTTGATCAAATAAATGCAGCATTGGCAAGCATAATGTAATTCATCAGATTCATCTAATTAATCAGAATCTAATTTCAAATATATATATATATATATATATATATATATATATATATA